ATCTAATTCTCGATTATTCATTTTTCGATCATTAATTGTGAAATGAAATTTTTTAAAAGAAATCAATGACTGTATTTCTGTCCAAAACGCAATCTTTGTTTTTCACCGACGGCATGAAATTGCAGATATAGAAAGCGTGATAAGTTATTCGTTGAATATCGAATGCCCATACTTCAGTACTGTTACTATTGTTCCACATCAACTCATTGGCTGATGTGACATTTTCTCGATTCTACAGTCTTGTTTCGAATCCAAATCTTGTTCCAGAGTTTTCATGAAGCAGTCGAATTATACAAACGTATGCGTGCCAGATTCNCCAGATTCGATCAGAGACGTGTTCTGAAGCACGAATATGAACTGTTGATAAAATTTGATGAACGCACTTATAGTCTCTTCGGCTTATATCAGCAAGCAGTTGTTGGTGATGTTAACGTGCCAAGTACGTTGGTTTCCTGAAATATACCATCTCGATTTGTCATTCTTTAATTTGTGAACGCGTTTGGCTTCAAATATCCATAGTTTATGAGTAGATCTCAAGTGAAGTCCTCCATTATTGACGATTAATGGGAGTGAGATCATTTGGATGAATACTCACAAAATCCTTCTCTAAAACTGTAACTCGTCAAGAAGAACCAATCGAGATAAGAGAATGAAAGTCGAACATAATTTCCAGAAATGGATTACTTTGATGCAGAAGAAAAATCGTGGATGTGGGGCTGGATTAAAGGTAATCGGAAGTGGCATGCTTGGAACAAATGTAAAGGTATGTAGATGGTTATCGGCTCATAACCGAGAAATTATTTCTGTTCACCAGAATGAAGATATTCCATCTTCTGGAAGCATTTCAGTGAGTCTCATAAACTTCGAATAGGTTTCAAGGGGGAAATTTGAAGTCCTGATTCAATTCTTCCCTTATTGCATGCCCTCTTCCGCCCTTCAAAACATCCTTTCTATATATCAACTTCCTCGCGGATATTTGGCTATTATTCTGATCGATAACGTTGATCGACATAATTTCATTCATCATTTAACCATTATTATCATAGCAATTTCGTCCCTAGAAAAGACATCTTAATGAATTGTTTAAAGGAAATCGAAATCGGTGAACAATATTCGATGACTTGCAATCATTTCTGGCGGATTTAGAAAAAAAACCAATGTAAAGCATACAAATAAAACATGTAATTTAAGGATTATCAAAATCTGATGCAATGTTTATGTACATCAATGAAGTAAAACAACTAGAAAAAGAGTTGCCAACATTGATTGATGAATGGAAAGACGAACAAGATCCCAGAATACCGGATCAGAATGCTTGGGTTCCCGAGGAGGAACTGCCTCAGCGATTAGCTGCGATCGAGGAGGCGAAACGACGTAGACGGTGCCCATTCACATCACTATTATTAATCAGTAGTGGCAATGGAAGTGACAATCAACGTGTTTTTGGATCTAGTATCATTTATTCTGAATGCTGTTGATGGAACAATCAGTGCATTATCATCACATAGTATATACAAGTAGAAGACCATTAACGATTACTGTGGAAACCTGAGAGTACCTTAAGCTTCAAGATGGTAACCCTTATGGTCTTATAGTAGCGTGTAGATTGCTCCGTAGTGATACAACGAATACAAACGAGCACCACTGCTCTAGTTGAGATATCTCTAAGAAATTACGTATATCTC